TATAATCGTGTTGTTAGGGGAAAGGCTATCCCATAACATTCCAAGCAAACCTACAGCTACAGCTGGGTTCTGCAGTATGAACCAACCGTCACTCTGCAGTCTAAGCGAGCGCTCTACCAACTGAGCTACCAGGGCAACTCAGCTGGTGGAGGTTCTAATCTACAACACACAGATACAAGTAAACATCAAACCACTGTGCTATGGCGCAGTAGACTCTCACTCAGTATGTACTCCGCATGTACAGTTTGTCTCCGAGTGTGTCCTTCTGTATGTCGTCAAAGCCGATGTATCTAGCCTTATAAAGTTTTCAAAAAACCATCCGTACACGACTGTCAGCAAGCTGAACATGAACTGTGTGTACCGAAGTGAGTATACAGAACATTATGTTTGTGCCTACAAAAATCCCTGTTTCTGCTACTTCGTGTACTTGAATGACCCGCATTAAAGTAGCTCTGAAACGCAATGGGCAATTGACTCTACAAAGTTTTAGAAAGGTCAATATAGCTGTAGAGTGCAATTGTCCGACCTAATGCGTAGTTTTCACATACACATTGACACATTATACACGGTGAAAGAAAAGATGGGGTATCCAACAGATTTCCACCTTCATTTTTTAATATCTGCCGGATCCTTATTTCAATCGAATATTGTTTCCTTGAAGCCTAGTTAATGAAAAGCACTGAAGTGCAAACCCTCGGCGCACTGTGACGCGCACACGTAAGTAAACGCATGCGCCGTATATACCACTAATTGATGGGCTGGGTTTAGTTTTAGCTGTTACTCGTGGTCTCTTGCCAGCTCGCGCAGAGTCTGACGCGGGCTAACTACACTATTAGATAGCATGCGAGAGGCGATACATGCCCTGCGTTGCATCTTCTGGTGCCTCCGAAGTACGCAGAGCACGCGGATCGATCCGACTGTGGTAAGCCATCCCGTCCGTTGTGTATTTGCATATTGGCTTTTTCGCGCTCTAGCTTTGCAACGGAGCATTTTCAGAGAAAACCGTCTTTATTTTCTGACCTTCGTCGCCCATTGGGTAGATGGTATCGTTTCTGGGACGAACAGACGTTCGAGGAGTGAGATATAGAGTAACAGACAGACAGACAAACAGACAGACCCAACTACTGTAACCCTCGCTGCGCATGCACGCCGAGGGTTAACAAGGCTTAGCCCATGTTCAGTTGCATCATGCTGCTGTAAACCACGTGTGAGTGAAGGGTCTACTTCACCCATAAGATGGTCAAGAGATCCAGGAGATATCTGATTGCAGAAATGACTAAATGACACACTTAAGTACACATGAAGGGGTCAGAGTCAGATGTGGGCCAAACCTCATATACAACTCATCTTTCTTCGCCATTTTCCCTTTCGATATGTTCTAATGTCCTTATAGAACAAAAACCGGCAAGAGTTGTATATGAGGGTTGGCCCCCTCTGGCTCTGACCCTTCAATTATGCGTGAGATAACATGCAGACTACCTGCCATGCTTGTTTAACAACCTTACGCGATGTTTACTCTCTGCCTTTATCCACAGATACTGCTATACTTCTTTTCATTAGCATTTTGATATGGGATATCAATCAAGTACATACTGGCTGGATGATATCAGTGTACTGAGAAGAACAACTGCTTGATGGACGGTGAGCATGAACGTCTGGCGTATTCACAACTGTGCACAGCATGAGATAGCGGCTGTCATAGTGAGTTATCTAGTATCACTGAGTGCTGAACTCTGTGTGCATTCATCATATCCATGCAGGCAATGGCACCAAGCAAAGTTTTGTACTGGACCTTACCTTTGAACCTTCCCCGGCGGAACAGCACATGGTCCATTCTCTACGAGGTCTCAAACAAATAGGTAGTCTTAGGTACTGTCAAGGTAGTCCTTAGAGACTTATGTCTCTATGCCACATTTTAACTGAAAATACATACTACGCAGCACGAGAGCATTTAGGGCTTGCTATGCTTGGAGTAAACACTACTGCATGAGTGGTTCGGCTGGGTCCCTATGGCTCATGTTTTAAAATGAAAAAGCACGAAAAAGTGCAAACCCTCAGCGAACTGCGCATGCGCGATACTGCTATGATGGCTGTACACGGCTATTTGTACTCGCGGCTTGGAGTAAAACACTGCATGAGGCTGTCTGCAGCTATTCGCTCTCCGCACTACAGCTACGAGAGCTGACTAACAGCAATACCACCGGCTTCAGAACTACGTGAACCTAAAATATATAATGGTGATTTGGTGTACTCCAGAGATATACCGTAAAAACACGTGAAGAGCTACTATGCATAATCTCGCGCTACGTAGCTTACCTCGTCCTGATCTGCTTGCTCTGTGTGTACCTTGGGGCCTCAAGAAGTCACAACTAATGAGTGATCGACTCCTGCCCGCTATCTACTAGTGTAGCTAGCCTGTGTCAGACCTCCGCGAGCTACTATGTGGAGACCACGGTAAACACATACTCATAGCCCTGCCAATCAAATAGCGTACCGCGCATTGCTGCCATGGGCTGAGGGTTTGCACTTCATTACTTTTCTATCTTGCCCCTTTGCTTTACTCCTTCAGGACTGTCAAGGGAGCAACCCGGGTTAGTCGCACATACAGTGGGCATGGTTGGCCACACACAGAAAATGTTGCCTCCCCACTTTTTAGTTTTAGCTCCCTTCGAGGGCTCTAACATTGTGTTAATCAAAAAGCTACAAACGTTTTTAGGGAGCACAATTAAAACATTTTCGTAAGTCTGCTGGCAGTTCAGAAATAATTCTTTCTTTAGAACTGGGTGTGCTTGCAGGTGACTACACTCAACGGTTTGGATCACTGGATGGAGTTGGAGAAAGAGAGTTCTGGAAACAGAACAGAGGAAGTTACATTGCAGCTTTGCTGATAACTCTTTTTATCATGTCGAAGGCGACAAACCGACTTCTATGTGGAAACTAATGTCGGTATTTGGGAGTAAATTAGGTTTGTTATTTTCTGCAAAATGGTATGAGATCACTTGTGAACACAATTAAAGCAGGGAGATAATAATAATAATAATGTACACTGATACAGAAGGTCTTTCAACACCACAACTTTTTACGCCTTAGTTTTGTCATTTGTTGGCTCCCGCGGTTTGGGGTGTCCCCGCATAATCTGAGCATGCCGGACAGCAGCCAGGTACGTCGATGGTGCTGGGCGATGCCCTCCCGGGGCGAGGAAGCTCTTTGTTTTGTCCTATCATTGCTCTAGTGGAGAAATTGTATAGGGAGAGCTAAAAGTGAGAGGAACAATGGGTGGTTAGTAAACAGCAGTGGCACCCCAAATAATGATATCATAATGTCAGGCACATTTAGGTAAACAATCACCATTGGCTTCATTTTTAAAAAGGCGATTTTCGTATAACTACTGTTCAAAAGTTATGGCGTGAAAAGCAAGTGAACAAGCCAATATGAAAATTAGCGCAGGCTTACCTCAACCGGGTCCGCTTGTTCTGTGTACCTTGAAGGCACAAGAAGTCACAACATGGGGTTATGGTACTTGGTTCGTAAGTCTGTCTGTCTGTCTGTCTGCCTGTCTCTCTATCTGTCCGCTCTGCTTAATGTCGCATCTCGCGCTATGACACGAGTGACAAAGGACACTAGATTATTGAGTAAAGTAAAAAGCCATTTTTTCTAAAACCGCTTACTTAAAAAGTTAGAGCATGTTTTGTTTACCACGGTCAGATCCGCCATTTTGTTTCCTTTTCACGACTGACACACACACGCGTTTTGTGATACGTCAGTTGTTAAGTTTTAAGGCCGTATGACACTGGTTGCCCATGCAATGCATAATTTCTACTGAATGTGTGTACAATGGTCAAGCGGCCTCGCGTAGCAGTATATTTTGCATGGAAAATTTGAGGGTCAGTTTGAGCATGCAAGGCAAAGAGCCGTGCCATGGACAGATTGGCTCCCTATGGCACCGGCTCTTGCGTACAAGCGAATGTGCTTGTGGCCCCGGAATCTTGGCAAGTTTAAAGAGATCCGACCAATCATTGAGCTGTGGCCTGATTTTGCTTCCACATGGGTGGCCCAGACTTTGGTTGATGTTGGTGGGAGAGTATGAGTTAATAAATCTGTGTATAATTATATTTTCCATTAACTCAGCCATGCAAAATGCACCAATAATCTCACAGTATGTGATTAGTGGTGTGCATACGTACTCCAACTTTAGCACCAGCTGATTGTTATGATGGACAAGTGCGATTGGTGGATGGTAATGTCACATCAGGAAGAGTTGAACTGTGCTTTAACCAAACATGGGGTACCGTGTGTGATGATGGCTGGGATGATACTGATGCTACAGTTGTCTGCAGGCAACTTGGACTGTCATCTCACTGTGAGTCATGCAGTTACACTTGACAGGCTCTTCTGAGCTAAATTTTAGGCTCTTGTTTCTTTTGTAGCATTTTGATAGCCGACACAATTTTTATGCCTCTACTAGTGGTAAAGTACAACTGAAGTAGCTCTAGAAATCTGTATCAGAATAGACATTGGGTATTGCATCTTTTGGCAAGATTCTGTGTTACAGGGGCTTGTTGTTATGTGGAATCCTGTTTTGTATACTGCAGTTCCTATGGCACTTTCATTTGCACATTTTGGGCCGGGACGAGGACCAATACACCTTGATGACCTAGGTTGTAATGGAAGTGAGGTTTCTCTGCTGGAGTGTCCTCATATAGGGGTTGGGAATCATAACTGCAGACATTTAGAGGATGCTGGTGTGGACTGCTTGGGTAAGTAAGTAGGTTTGTATACAGATTGAAAACTAGAGATTCTGACAGTGTGTGAATTAGACTTTTCATGCATCTAGCTTGCAAGAAGTGGGTACCATGGGGAGGTAGAGGATTGGCCCTCACTAGAAACAAACAAGCTGCATAAAAGACCAGGAGAACCGGGTCTTCTATGCATTCAACTGTTTAATAATAGTAGCTTTTGGTATACTGAATGCATGTGAAAGAGCATGTGTGGAGATTGTACGTAGTCTGTGGAACTGAAGAAGAACTAAAGCTACAAAGTGGGCCTGTAACTAACAATGGTTTCGCAGGAGCCAAATGTTCTTGCATGATTTTTGCAGGCTACGAATCCGGGTTCAGTGCAATACTGGCTTGATTTAAAAAGGGCAATTTTCATAAATCTACTGCGTTCTAAAGTTATGGTGTGAAAACCAAGTCAACAAGCCAATAATTTGTTATTTAGCAGCTACCTCGACCGGTTCGCTCCTCTGTGTAATCTTGAATGAACAAGAAGTCACAACTAGGGTGTGTATCTACTCCCGCACGCTATCTCTACTTACTAGCCGTTTCAGATCTCCGCAAGCTACTAGCGGGAGACCACTAATAGCCCAGCCCATACTTTAGCGGTATCGCGCATAGCGCAGTTTGCCGAGGGTTTACACTTTAGTGCTTTTTCATTTTTATTTTGGTTGTGTACTACTGCAGGTATATCTCCACCTTGCCTCTACAATGGTGTGATATACTCTGATGGGGACACATTTCCCGCTGGGGATGGTTGCAACAATTGGTAAGACAGCAATTCGTGTGAAGAGAATGCAAGAACTTTAATTGTACTCTCTGGTTATAGGTGAATACTAGCAGCAGTCAAATGCTTTTGTAAACACAAACTATTTTGTGTGAATGTTTCTGAGTAAAGAAAGAATTTGTCGACGATGCATCTCCATCCCATCTTTAACTTTTATGAAGTATACACTCCCTTTGCCATTAACATTTTAAAGTCTCTTTACTATTAATCTCTTTCATTCACAGCACTTGTGCTTCTGGAAGTGTAGCCTGTACTGAAGCATTCTGCCCAGGTAAAGTAGATTATTAACCCTCGGTGGGGGTGCACAGCAAAGGTTACAATATTTGATATGTATGTTTGTCAGTGTGCGTACAGCAATTCTATAGGCTACGATGCAGCCTATGAGCGATACCAATGGCCTTAGAGGTAATTGAGTCTGAAAAGCAACCTGAACCACATATAAGAGCACCAATAAATTTGATGTACAGGTACCCCGTGTTCTGGGGTTTTCTGCACATCAGATAGTATTGTTTATATACTGACAAACACTGAGCATGAAAATTCCATAAAACTGGGACTTTTTAGTGATATGATGTATGTTTGAGTGAATTCTTGTGTGAATAAATGAAGGACATTTGGGCTCATTTATAGCTAGGTGCGGGCCCGTAGACTATTTTAAGTCCCAGCGAGTCCCTCTCGCAGAGTTTTAAGGCGTAATCACGTGAGATTTTACCTGTGCCATCTCTATAAAGAGCGTCTACTGACGCTCTTCTTCTGTACATGGGCAGATGCTGTTATACTTTTGTGATAGGATCAGTGACATGATCACCTCACCTCTCTCCCACTAATCCCACAGTTGAACCTTGTCTGTATGGATCAGTGCGACTGGCTGATGGAAGTAACACAAGCGGACGAGTGGAACTGTGTTTCAACAATACATGGGGAACAGTGTGCGACGATGGATGGGATGTTAATGATGCTAGAGTTGTCTGCAGACAGCTTGGACTGCCATTCTCAGGTTAGAAAAACTGATCATGACGTGATAATGAACTCCTAACTTATGTATAATATACACAGACCCGAGGGCTGTTCGTAATTTTGGTGGAGGAAGAGGACCAATATTTCTGGATGACGTGGGGTGCAGTGGACGTGAAAGAACACTGCTGCGGTGCAATCACACAGGAGTGGGAATTCACAACTGTGGACATCATGAAGATGCTGGCGTTTTCTGTGTCAATGGTGCGAATAGTCATATTCACTTCTAGTCTATCCGCAGACCCTCCGTCCCGCGGCTCATGCGCGAGCAAGCCGCACACAGAGAGAGGCCATAGCATTTGATTGTGTTTCCCACGAATATCTTTGGAGTGAACCGCTCCAATGATGTTCACAGCAAGGTTCCACCAGTTTACGTAACGGCACAATTCCAGCTGAACGTAATGAATTGCATGTTTGGCTAGACAGAATCTCTGTGTGTGGCCCCACAGTGCGCGCACCATTGCACAGCACGGACCAAAGAGAAGGTCTGCGAGCTACTCCTTCATGTTTGATGACTTTGCAGTATAGCTCTGTTTGCCTGGCCTTTGCGTTGCAGCAGCATTATCGCACACAAAAGAATACCAGTGTACTTAACTCTGGGCAACTACATTTTGTTGCAGGGACTGGTTGTACCAGTGGAGATGTTCGTCTGGTTGGAGGAAATAGAACAGCAGGAAGAGTAGAAATCTGTTTCAATGGGGTGTGGGGCACTGTGTGTGATGACAGCTGGGACACTCCAGATGCCCAGGTTGTTTGCAGACAACTTGGACTGCCCTGGCGAGGTACCTACACTGTTGTTATACCAATATCACTAACCACGCATACAGCTGCTACTGCTCTTGGATTTGCTAGGTTTGGAGAGGGAACTGATCCAATACATTTGGATGATGTGGGCTGTAGCGGAAACGAATCGTCATTGCAGGAGTGTCGTCATAACGGAGTTGGAGATCATAACTGCGGTCATATCGAGGATGCTAGTGTTGTGTGTTCTGATGGTAAGTGATGCTCAATCGCATAAACGCATACTAATAGCCCAGCCCATCAATTAGCGGTATTGCGCATGCGCAGTTCGCGTAGGGTTTGCACTTTAGTGCTTTTTCATTTTTATTTTGGTTGTTAACCCTCGGCACGCATGCACAGCGAGGGTTACAGTACTTGGTCTGTCTGTCCGTCTGTCAGTGCTTTTCATGTACTACTGCAGGTAGACCTTGCATCTACAAAGTAGATTATTAACCCTCGGTGCGCTTGCACAGCAAAGGTTACAATACTTGATCTGTATGTTTGTCTGTGTGCATACAGCAAGTCTATAGACTACAATGCAGCCCATGAGCGATACCATTCGCTTTAGAGGTAATTGTGTCTGTAAAGCAATTTTCGTGAATGACATAATTATAAGAGCAACAAATAATCTGACGTACATGTACCTCCAGTGTTCTGGGGTTTTCTGTATAACTAATGGTCATATTGAAGATGCTGGTGTTGTGTGTTCAAGTATGGTGCAGAAAAAAGGTTGCCCCTGCTATTAATATAACCTCATGGACAAACTTACTCCATTGCTGTCAATTTCATAATTGCTGTAATGCAGTGGTGCCAAGTGTGTGTGAGAATTGGCAAGTCCGTCTGGTTGATGGGTTTGACACTGAGGGACGGGTGGAAATTTGCTTCAACAACACGTGGGGAACAGTCTGTGATGACGATTGGGACACTGATGACGCTAGAGTTGTCTGCAGACAGCTTGGACACCCAACTGAATGTAAGCAGCTACGTAGGGAAAGAGGTTGCAGAGTAGTTAGAGCAGATGGGTGATTGTAATTTTGGTCTGCCATGAAAAGATGCAGTGGCGTATTCAAATGCAACGATATGGGGAGGGAGAAGGGCCAAATACTACTGGATGATGTGGAATGTTTTGGATTTGAACCATTGTTACAGCTGTGTCAGCATAATGGAGTCGGGAACAATAACTGTGGCCATTTGGAAGACGCTAGTGTTAGTTGTTCCACTGGTATGCTGCCTTCTCTGTTGTAATGCTGCAGTGCACTGACTTTTCACTATCTTACCCTAACAGAACAGCCAGTGTTTTGTGGAGAGGATGAATTCCAGTGTCCGGGTGATGATTTCGGCTTTCCTAGATGTATACCATTCATGTACTTGTGTGATTCAATTGAAGACTGCGTTGATGGATTTGATGAACAAAACTGCAGCACAAGTATGGAAATCCATGTGTTATGTGTGTGTGTGTGAGGTGAAGCAAAGCAACGGCAAACAGCACAACAACTTTTTTTGCAGTTGAACTCACAAGTCCATGTGAATACTCTGTGAAAGAGGGAGAGACAGGGAGCATAAAAGTATGTATGGCTGTCACCAAAGTCACGCGGAGATTCATACACAGGGTATTTCCTATTGTGGTCACTCCATTTGGATCAGCAAAAAGTAAGCTATGAGAGTCTTATGACATGAGTAATGTAGCTAAGCGTGTAAGCGCTGGCTGGCTGGCACCGAGCTTTGTGCATGCAGATAGCTGCGCGGTATCAGTCTAATTTTTATGATATGAGTTTTGTTACCTCACACCTAGCAAGCTAGTTGGTAACCTGTCTCCCACATTTCTCCCGTAGATCAAACAGATTATACTTTCTACAACGAAACGATCGTCTTCAACGGGAGCTACTATGAGGGAGAGTCAGAGTGTATTTTGGTGACTGTCGTTGCTCATACTGATGGTATAGTGGAGGGAATTGAAATGATCTCTGTTAGTGTAGGACAGTTGGCTATATTCCCCAGTATCTGTCTTCGTCATTGATTCCGACTGTAAGTTACTTGTGACACAAATGGAACATGATGGCCACACTTACTATCGTGCAGACCTGAAGGTTGGATTTGTGGAGGCATCATACTCTGTGTCTGAGTCATCAGGTGTGGTGGAGATAGCAGTGACGACATTCCCAGATAGTAGTGGAAACGTTCCCAGTATTGGAATACCGTTTGGTCTGAGGATTACAAGTGGAGACGGAACAGCTCTTGGTAAGAAAATCGTATCTGATTAGACGGGAAACGGCTACCGCATTTCCTCCCCAGCTGGTGAAGACTATCAAGATGTTCTTGCAACAGTTTACTTCCGTCCCGATCACACTCCATCGGCTGTAATACGAGTCAGTATCACTGACGACAGCTTGAGTGAAGGAGAAGAACGATTCACAGTGCAACTAAAGAGCTACGATTTGCCTATTGTTTTGGCCAATAGTGTGACCGAAGTTGTGATCGAAGATGATGACGGTATGTATTAGCTCTGGTGTTTTCATTGCTCTGCTATGCATACAAAGTTCCGTTTAGAGTTGAGATGTCCAGACTTGAAAAACCCAGCCGACGGCTCTGTGGTGCATGACGGCCTAGTTGTTGGCTCACAAGCGACATACTCTTGCGATGACGGATATAGACTGGTTGGTGGCAGTACCAGAACCTGTGAGAGTGACGGGACGTGGAGTGGAGAGTCGCCTCTCTGTAGCCAGAGTGGTAAATAGGAAACTGCTTGCTGTGGGAGATTTTGATACAGTGCACCCTCCATGTTTGCAGTGGTGGTGTGTACTGTGGAACTCGTTGGTGAGATAGAAGTGGAGAGAAATTCTGCTACCTATTCATTCAGTGGTGTTGGCTCTGACATTACTGGCTATGTCTGCAAACTGGACGGAGTAAACTTGCCAGACTGTATGTCCCCATACACACACGTTTTCCAAGCCTTGTTGAATATTATTATACATTGTCTGTCATGCCAGGTTCTGGTACCCTGACTGGTCTTAGTCCAGGACAGCACCGGCTGAGGATTGTCCCAGTAGGATGCAGTGTCAACAGTGGTGTGACCTTCCGTTTCGAAGTTTGATGATAGGGTCATCAAATTTATTAACTCCTATAGAGAACAATGACATGACTGTAGCTCTGCTGTATATTAGGTTGTATATATTTCCGTATCTTTAATGGTTGAGTAGTCATCCGAAACCTAAATGAATAACATAATAACGTTGTGCTTTAATTAGTGCAAGGGTATTGTCATGGCTTATGGCTCAGAAGCAAAGGATTCACTCGATCAACAGAGGCTTATTGAGACACTTTGCTGTTGCTTGTGTCTTGATTACTGATGGCTGGGTGTTCCCTTATAATCTGTTAGCAAACACTGTTGTGCACATCTGGCAGCTTCAAAGCTTTTTTCATCCTCGCGCTTTCTGGGGTTCGCAGCAATTACGGCGGGCGCATGCGCAAATGCTCGCGAGAGATGGTCCGTCACTTGTATATACGAACGCTGCTTTTTTCGGCGCGTCGCTTGCTAGCTTCTTAACCCTCGGCGCGCATGCGCAGCGAGGGCGTTCTGTGCGTCTGTCTGTCTGTCTGTCTGTCTGTCTGTCTGTGTGTGTGTCTGTTTTCTGCCACCACGCGCAACAAACCGGCCAAAAAGCGACACCATCAGGTTCAGCGCTACACTGGCTTCATTTTGATTTTCTAAAGTTATGGCATGCAGCCAATATGCTAATTAACCCTCGGCGCGCGTGCGCAGCGAGGATTACGGTAGTCGTTCTCTGCGTGTCTATCTGTGTGTCTGCACTACAGGCCTTATGAGCGTTAGCGGTACACGGGCTAGAAAAATAAAATGGCGATTTTGCTGAAACGACTGCGTTCGAGAGCGACAAACTAGCACGGTCGCGGAGAACGTTGCGTGGCCCAACCCATCAATAAGCGGTGCGCATGCGTATATTTTACGCGATCAACGCGGCTCACCTCGACCTGATCCGCTTGCTCTGTGTACCTTGGAGGCACACGAAGCCACAGTAAAGGGTGTGCATCAACTCCCGCATGCTATCTACTACCGTACCTAGCCCGTCTCTCCGCGAGCTACTAGCGGGAGACCGCGAGTAAACGCCAATAGCCCAGCCCAGCCCAGCCCACCATTAGCGGTATCGCGCATGCGCAGTTCGCCGAGGGTTTGCACTTTCATTAGCACACAGGTTTACCTCTGCTTGCTCTGTGTATGTTGAAGGCACATGAAGTCACAACGAAGGGTGTGTACCGACTTCCGCATGCTATCTACTACTGTATCTAGCCCGTGTCCGACTCTCCGAGAGCTACTAGTGGGAGACAACGAGTAAACGCATACTACAAATAACCGTCAATTAGCGGTACAACGCATGCACAGTTCGCCGAGGGTTTGCACTTTAGTGCTTTTGATTCTGTCTGTAGCTACATTTCTGTTTGTATAATTATACTCAACAAACGTAGCGCTGTACGACCCGCGCATTCCATACAAACGTGCACCGGCCGGCGGTTTGCACTTCGTGAGCTTTACCCGTATTCAATAATGATACTCTAATCTGTGAATGCAGGAAAAATAAATTATTTCCCCATCTGTTATATGGAGAAGCAAAAAAATCTTATGCATTCTTATGAGGCACCACAGGGATGTGCTTTATCTATCCACGTATAGCAGGTGGTTGTCATGCATGGACTATGCTGCATAGCTACATATATACGTAGGTTGTGTTATACATGTGAACATGGCTACTATGGGACAATTGTACATAGATTGTGTGAACGTGGCTACTACCGTGGGACTTGCAAAAAGGTGACTGGATTATAGTAGGTGGGATTTCAGGTAAGATATCTGTGCCAAAGCTTTAGTGAAGTGGCAGGTTCCACTATGGAACAAAGTTGGCGAGGGAAGGCAAGCAAAGCCTATAATATTATTGTTTGCCTGTAGCTTGTTTCTGCCTAATTGCAGTGGCATTGCTTTGACAGCACATGTCTAGACAGGCTACTATAACTACATAAGAGTTTAGTTGCTCAAGTTGCACCTACAGTGACAAGGACGGCTACATCATCTGGCTCATTGCGCCCAAATTCAGTGAAAGCAGGTGTTTGGTATTATAGCTGATCATAAACTTTTTTAGTGGTGTTTTACCATGGAAGCCATGGTCTACTTGAGTTTGATAATATAAGGCAGAAATTTCAAAATGTACTTACGCTAACCGGAACTAGTTACCCTTGAAATTCCGCATAGCTATAGCGGAAATGCGCGCGTCGGGCATATATATAAGACGGGCCTTGGCGTGCAGTCAGAGCACCCGCCGCGCGAGTTTGACGACCTGCCGCTTCAAGTCATCGCTTTGGATTCATTTTCTCTGTAACTGCATTGTTATCACCCACAGGCAACTTGAGGATCACGGGATGGTGTCTAGGGCTGCTCCGTTCGTAACTCTTTGTCTTCTCTTGTGGATTGCACACTGCCAATTGGGTAATGATGGTTGTGTTGTTGGATTTGACAATATAGTGTTTTATAAGAGAGGGATTTTGCAGCAATAGCGTACGCTTTCGACGAGGGAGAGGTGAATAGTGGACTACTGCCACGCATGCGCACTCGGCTAAATGCATTTCCCAGCCACAGTGCGTGCGTCGGAGGAAACTCTTCCAAAAGATAGTGACTGTGCGTAGGTTATGATTGGCTTGATCTGTAGCTCATAATATTTTGTGGGTAACTTGTCTGCTAGTAAGCCAATCTACACTTTACAATGGCATGGCCATAGAGTGAAATAAATAGTGTTCATTGGGCTATTAGTAGCTTGGTTGGTGGATAGGGAGATGGTAGCTAATGTATCTGAATACCAAATGGTTACTTTGGGTTCTTTGAACCTTGCCGACAAGGAATGATTAAATGTCTGCTATAATGGTTATCTAGCCATGGAGGCAGTTGACCATGAACCATATTGTGTGCCACAAGGTTAGCCTCTCCTCCCAGCCTGTGCTGCCTCCCACTGTTTACTTAGCAGTGTTTTCTGAGGATATTTTGATAAGGAAGCAGGCTATGGTTTAGATACAGCCTTTGTCTGGAGAGATATTGCAGCACCAGCAGCCATCTGTGTCCATTGTCAGGTCTGGTGCCCTCCCAGTTTGGTCTCAGGACTGTGCCCAAATGCTGGTGATCTGTTTCAACTCCAAGTATATATCCTAGAAGCTAAATGTACACAGACCAAATTGCACCTCCTAATCTTGCACAGTAATCAATCATGTGTTCCTTCCATGCAGAGATTGATAATCCATGTGACTGTGGTGATAATGCCGTGTGTATGGGATCTGATGGCAGTTATACTTGCACATGCATGACTGGCTATAGTGGAAATGGTACCTATTGTTATGGTAAGAGAAGTTCTTTGTTTTATGTGGTGGTACATACTCGTTTTCATTTTCAATGCAGATATGGATGAATGTGAATTGATGATCGATAACTGCTCAGAAGATGCTTGTTGCACTAACACCCCTGGCAGTTACTTATGTACATGCAAAAAAGGATACATTGGCGATGGGATTTCGTGTGATCGGGGTAAATACCTCTGTAAAAACCTTAATATATTCTAACACATAAGAAATATTATATTGTGCATTCATCGTTTGACCTGCAGGATGCTCAGAGTCAGTGAGTTGCCCACAAAACCCTTGTGATGGTGCTACTTGCCCTGGACTGGTGGAAGCTATATGTGTGGTTGATTTGGGTGACTGCAGTGCGACATGGTTTATTGATGATGAAGATGTCACTGATCAATGCCAAGGTCAGTTTTTTAATACAAGTGGAGAAAAAAGGTTGAAAAACAGGGGAAACAAGAAGATGCCTAATTGAAGACAGGTCAACCATAACTCCATCCCTACACCTTTGTTTCTCCTTTGGTGGTCATGAATGCATGAAGTATAATTGGCGAGCGGGAGCGAGCCAGTCGTCCTTTCGAGCGAAATTTTCCGTATATTTATCGTTCGTACGTTGTGTAAGTGCGCATGCGCAGCTTTGTACGCGCTTCTTTTTATCCGAAACTATTTCCAAATTTTACACATTTTCACACATGGTGCCTTGCGATATGCGCCGATCGATCTAGCCAACTAGAGAACTCTCCACCATTCGACGGCATGCGCTGCAACCTTCGGTGACTGACCAAGGCTGTACCTCTTCCCAATCTTCATGGTTCCAAGGTGCAAGTTGCAAATATGCTAGGATTGCTCGTGCACATACTGCTGCATGCCAGCTGCCTGGTGGACCACGACTGACGAGCTGAAAGCGTAAGGTAAGTACCGTTCTGCTCACCTGCTCACCGTTCTGCCAATGTACAATACGCATGTAACGGCGACAGGTAGATCTGTCTTGCTTCACGAAAGGAAAGCTGTGCGCTGACAGCACACTATGAAGCCCGAACATCGCGGGCAAATCCCAAGTTGGGTCGCTCCCACTCGCCAACAATGTTCAACATTTCCACTAGTAGATATCCACACTACAAGTTGATATCTACAACTTGGAGAAAACAGGGATGTAAGGTGGGTTTATAACATAAGTATGGCATAATTATAGTTTCTTGCAAGATATTATTATAATATAGAAAGGTCCCCAATAGTGTAGTGTGCAAACAGTGGTGCACCTTGTTTCTTTCTTTTTTGTTGCACTTTGAGCCATTCCAATATCCCATTTGGAATGTGTTTTGCACTCGTTATTGCCATATGAAATTGTGTGGCATTATGAGTGCATTGGCTAACTCCTTCACCCAAGTAATAATTGTGTTTTTCTACAGGATGTAATGATGGAGATGTCCGTTTAAAAAATAATCTAATGGGAGATATGACTAAAATGCTAGTGGAAGATATGACTGAAATGCTACTGGAAGTATGCTATAACTCCACCTGGGGATTGGTCTGTGATGACCAGTGGGGAGCAAATGGCATTAATGCCCAAGTTGTCTGTAAGCAACTTTGTTTCGAGAGTGGAGGTGAGTCAGTGTATAATTAGCAACCTTATAAGTTATATTACATGTCCTCTTAACCTCCTTAGAGAAAGGTAAAGTGTGTCCAATTTTGAGCGATGGGATATTCTGGTTGGATGAAGTGAATTGTACGGGAGACGAAGGGCGTTTGGATAACTGTGCACATAGTAACATTGGAGAACATGACTGCACCCTTGCTGAGGCTGTTACAGTTGTCTGTTCAAGTAAGCTTTCCACTTTTTGTATGTAGGAATACTGAATAAGCAAACTATGATGAAAATTTTACTCACAGCTGTCACAAGGTTGGGTTAAACAAAAAGGAAAATTACTGTGTGTGTACACCTCATGGGGTATTATTCTTCCCCATGTTCATATCACACCCAAAGTGTATGTACCTCTTGTTTTTTCTGCCTTGTTGCGTGCGGTAGCAGAAAACGTGGTAACAGACTGACAGATGGACAAATAGACAGACAGACAGACAGACAACAGACCACGGGACCAGCTGACCAAGTACTGTAACACTCACTGTACATGTGTGCCGAGGGTGAATAATCTGCATTAAAAGGATGTATATTTCGTTTTGTACCACAGCTAATGTCTGTCCTGAAGGGTCTAAATGTACACAAGATGGGAATTGCTACACTAAAGATGAAACTGGTTACAAAGGTATCAGGGGTTCCATGATGGCTTGTTTAATGATGTTCCTCATTTCAATACACAGATATTGATGAATGTGCTATGAATGTGTCCTGTACGGAAAATTCCATGTGTACAAATACAGAAGGAAGTTTCTACTGCATGTGCAACCCTGGATACTGCTGTGGGGAAGATGGAAATTGTACAGGTAACAAAGTCTTATGGAGACTTTATAATTGGCTCATATACTGTATTTCCTTCATACAGATATTGATGAGTGTGCTATGAACACTACTCGCAACTGTACCAATGAATGCAGTTATGAGTGTGCTATGGGCACTCATAACTGTACTAGAAAAGGTTCTAAATGCGTCAATACTCCCGGTAGTTATTTTTGCATGTGCTTGCCAGGCTACACAGGCAATGACTGTGAAGGTAATAATGTTTTAATGCTGTGTACTCTTGTTAGCTACATTGTTTTCTTTCAATACAGACATTGATGAGTGTGAAGATCCCACTCTTAACAACTGTGATGTAAATGCTATGTGCATCAATACTCCTGGCAGTTTCTCGTGCATGTGTAATAATGGCTACTTTGGAAGTGGAACTGACTGTGAACTGTGCTACATGGGGGATGGAACTGACTGTGATATGTGTAATCCTGACAAACCTTTTTGCCTTGGTTATACTAAAGATTGCATAGGTATTGTGCTATTGAACTGTGTAGCTACACCTTGGCATGCATTAGATTGTACTATTTTCTAAGAACGTACATTACATGCAAAAACCAAGCTGGCTTCTAGGCATCATTAGAGAGTCGGTAGACTCTCTATATAGGGATGACACGGGTGAAATCTCACGTGATCCGTGTACAAAACGACTAAAAACTCGGTGAGAATCACTCCCTAGGCCTTCAAAACATACTAGCAATAGTCTACGGGCCCATATCTACCTATACATGTCCTCCAAGACCTCATACGCACCTTCAGTCGTCCACGGGAGAATTCCCTCATACGCGATTTCACGATTTTCGTGTCATCATATTCTTCTTCTTCTTCTTCTTCTTTAGACCCGCTTTCTCCTTACTGGAACAAGTTGAAGCGCTGATTTTTTCACTGAACGTCTCCAATTTCGCCGGAGGTGTGCACGGACATCAAGCGATCGTTTCTTTCTTGCCGCTAGTCACTACGGTAGATCATGGAGCTCTTCCATGGTCGACACTGAACAACGCCATTTGCTGCTAACTCAGCATCAGTGAGCCGCGCGCATGCGCCAGGCAGGGGCGTTGTCCAATGCGCTTGCGAGCGTATTACCAGGCGAGTTGGCAGACCTGCAGAGGAACTCTCAGCCTCCAGTGCCTTCTGTAAGTAAGTGTGCACATTTCCAACTGGCTAGCTTGCTGTTGATTTGCACGAAGAGCAACTTGCCAGAGTCTGCGCGGTGTTACGCGAGCCTTGCGGGGCGCTCAGTCAAATGGGCCTTCATTGTTTGTCCCCCCCAGGTTGTAGCCTGATTACCAAAGCCTGCCCATGAAACCACAACCATGTGCAATAATCTAATTACATCCTTGTTGAAGACAATACATGAGGTGAATGCGGTATCTAGCCCCTGCTTCAGGCACTAGCAGCCCCATTAGCTAGCTACTACTTTCAACAGTTACAATTTGTCTATGGTAGCCTATCTACAACATACCCATGAGCATCAGAGTGGCTGTAACAATAAATGCAGTGTTGTCATAAGCTGTTAAAAATAGTGGAAACAAGTGGGAAAAACATTTCTTAAAAATGAAAGGGGGATATAGGGATGGCTTGAAGCACCAAAAAGGAAGAAACAAGGGGTCATTACACAGCAAAGTTGCACAAAGCTACATGACACCGTCCCTATATCTTTGTTTTATTGTCTATAAGCAAAGTTTAATTAATATCGAACAAAGATATAGGGATGGTGTCATGTAGCTTTCTTACTGAAGAAGAAGAAAAAAAGTGCATGGAAATACTGTGTAGCTATCTAAGCAGTAGGTTTGAAGGTATTATTATGAACCAATGCGTATCACGTGAGATTTGACCAGTGCCATCCCTCAAACAAGCTGAAAAGCCCTAAAACATCTCCATATCTAATAAATACACCAAGTTTCAAAGCTTCAAGTTCTGAAAGAATGACACCAAAATAATAATCCATTCGTTGGTTTATGCAATTTTTTCCTGTGCAGACATTGATGAGTGTGAACTTGGTTTGGACGACTGTGACGAAAATGCTGACTGTATTAATACAGAAGGCTGTTACATGTGCATATGCAGAGAAGGCTACTGTTGCAATGGAACAATTTGCACTGGTGAGCTTTGTTGTGAATTACTCAAATTCTCATGATGTGCTTTCAAGTGCTGAAAGAATGACACCAAAATAATAATCCGCAAAATCTTCATCTCAGTGCTAACATGGTGTATGGTGCATCATTACACACTCACACATGAAGACGTGTTTACTAAATCCAGAAGTTATCACATCGAGGTTAAGTGACCGTGCCGCCATTTCCCCGCACAACCCGTGCATGCACAAGAAAGTGCATGTAAATTCTAAATCGAAGGAATGCCATAACGCAAGGCCCTCGGGCTCTAACACGTATTGACTTCACTGCCACATTGTCTAACTAATGTGTTATGTAATTTTTGGGCTTTTCCTTTATTTTTTGGTGCTTCAGCCATCCCAATTCATTACATTTCTTAGTTTCAGATGCAAGTACGGGAATTCGTCTTGTTGATGGTAATGAAACGTCTGGCCTTGTTGAGGTACTTCGCTATTGTGAATGGAGATCAGTTTGTGATGATTATTGGACCGATCATGATGCAAAGGTAGCCTGTCGACAACTGGGACTCTTGCCTTATGGTATGCATATTATTGCACCTGTATAATATCACTTGCTCTCAGATTGAACATGTAATACGAATGTATTTTCAACTGAAATTTGCTTGCTTTTGTCAGACAGTATGCGTGTCTGCAAATTGGGCCCATCAAAGCCATTCTTGACAGTATTGTATGACATATGATTGTCGTCCAGCGTGTCTTAACCAGTTTCTGCTTTCATTAACCCTCGGCGCGCATGCGCGAGGGCTACGGTACTTGGTTTGTCATTCTGTCCGTCTGTCTGTCTGTTACCACGCTTTCTGCCACCACACACGCAATGAGACAAGAAAATAATTATCTTTGAGAGCTAGAAAGCTTGTATATTTAGCCGTGTGTAGCAGCCTGGCTGAGTATAAGTAAGCAGTAACCTGTTTCTAAGGAATGGGAATGTAAGGAAATGGAACCTTGAGGCTCCTTGGCCTCACTTATTTTTTTGCTCTTAGCGTTGGAACCGTGTACTGTCTGCAGTAAACGCTGAGTAAAGTCAACATAATGTAAACACGATTCAGGACATAATTTTCAACTGATAGGCAGTTGTTGTGTGTGGTAGAAAACGCAGTAACAGATATTTTGATGGAATGACTTTAGTATTACCAACACTGCACATAAGTGCGAGGGTTAAAAGGGAAAGTCAATTTCTGGATTTCTACTTTATTCAGCTGCTGGATCATATCGTAGGGGAAAATTCGAAAATGATGAAGAAGTGCAATATTGGCTAGATGATGTACAGTGTAAGGGTGATGAGTTGTCGTTGTTTGATTGTCCACATAAAGACACCCATAACTGTGGGAGGAGAGAAAGGGCTGGAGTCCACTGTCTGGGTATGTTGAATAAAGCAGCTGTTTTATTCTCTTGGTGTCCTAATTGCACACTAAACTGAAAATGTTTAGTGTTTCTGCACCAACTCTGCACTTACACAAGACCGGCGTCTAATAACACGTCCGCATCTATAGCTCATGTATGCCAAACAATGAAGGCACAGAGTTTTCACCTCACAGTATCAATGGTGATGGTGATTGTGTGATTTACATGACAATTGTACTTGCAAACCATTACAGGTAAGGATGATGTTGCAATATGTCTGGTTGAAAACACAACTCTTTATTCTGGAATTATTGACTTAAAGATTAGAAATGAATCGAGATCAGTATGTCATGATCAATGGACTGACGAAGATGCTCAAGTGGCATGCAAATCAATGGGACTTCCGTTTACTGGTAAGCTCTGCAATCTTGTCTTGAATTTTTGCAAGGGAACGAGTAGCCCAACATTTAGTAGAGACCGTGTGATTCAGAAGTCAAGTGTAATTAGGTGTAGGGTCTCCTTTTGCATGCACATGTGTCTGTCAATATGGAGTTCATGCACGAGCATTAATGACCTAGAGTTTTAGTATTGAGAGAGAGTAAGTAAAACTCATGCCAATTCGTCACATGCTCAACAACCTTTTTAGCAAGTGATAATTATTTTACCGCGAACACAGCTACATACAATCTCTGCACATTTTGTTTTGTATTTACACGGCAACTACACATTTATTATGGCAATGAGAGAGGGCTACTACTACATTCAGCCCCAGTGCATTCTAATTTTTGCAGGTGCTAAAAAAGAAATCGATGGAAGGTTTGAGCCAGGTGAAGAAGTTACATACTGGCTGTCTCAGGTGAATTGTCAGGGTGACGAAGAGTCCTTGCTTGCCTGCATGCATTGTGGAGTAGGAAACCATAACTGTGGTAAAGACCAAAGAGCCAAAGTTATTTGCCAAGGTAAGGATATTATTATGCAAGTGGAAATTGCCTGTCAGGCACATTTTAGGTAGACAATCACCCTTTAGGTTTGTTAGCATAGTATTTAGTGTATAAACAGTACAGGTTTTGAACTCACTAGTCACAGCGCAACTTGCAACAAATCTCACTGGTGGAACACTGTCAATGAAAAATCCCAAGCCTGCAAATCGCGCAGCCATTAAATGCCTGCTGAGCTTGCAGTAAAATGGCAGTGTCCACCATAGAAAAACTACACAATCTGAATACTTTATGACCATGCACACCTCTGTCGACTTTAAATACAGCGTTCACATTGTTCCGAGTTAACTGAAGAATGTGAGGACACAATTATTGGCGAGTGGGAGCGAGCCAACCTAGTCGTTCGTTCCAGCGGAATATTTTCTGTATTTATATGTATATATTTATTTATCGTACTTCGTACGTCGTGTAAGTGCGCATGCGCGGCTTTGTACGCGCTTCTTTTTATCCGAAACTATTTCCTAATTTTTCGGCCTTGCGATATGCTCTAGGCAGCTACAGAAGCCAATGTGCAATACGCATGTAACAGCGATAGGTAGATCTGTGTTGCTTCACGAAAGGAAAGCTGTGCGCTGACGGCACGTAATGCAGCCCGAACATCGCAGGCAAATCCCAAGTTGGGTCGCTCCCGCTCGCCAACAATGTTCAGCATTTCCACTAGTAATAATTATATATGAGCAGAGAACACGTGGACCCTTTAGACATTTTTGGACCTACAGGTCTTTGCCATGTTAGAGACTTTTTGTATGCAGATCATGTGAGATTTGGTCCGTGGCATCCCTATACTGTCACTCTAATAAGATATCTGCACATGCTTTTTTGTATAAACACACCTTCCGCTTTCTCTGTTCTCCTCAGATATTGAAGATCGCAAACGCAGAGAAGGTATAATTATACAAGTATAATCGTATTGTTAGGGGAAGGCTATCCCATAACCTTCCAAGCATCCCTACACTGCCACTCTAATAAGATATCTACACATGATTTTTTGTATAAACACAACTATCGCTTTCTCTGTTCTCCTCAGATATTGAAGATCGCCAATCCAGAGAAGGTACAATTATAATCGTGTTGTTAGGGGAAGGCTATCCCATAACCTTCCAACCAAACCTACAGCCATAGCTGGGTTCTACAGTACCGGTTACTATAGCTAATTGCACATTTTGGTGGTGGCACCAAGGGCTCCTTTAATTATAACTCCACATTTGCATGTACAGAGCCGTAATTGCACGACGTGACCAGCTACAACCAGTGCCCCCCTTCATCCCATACCCACTTTTCATTTTTTGACATGTCTATCTACTGTGCTCCACCTATGTCCGTATCACAACTATGAGAGTATGAATCGTTTTCTCACACATAAAGTAGGAAAATTGAGACAGCTCCCTTTCAATAGCACCAGACCCACCTTGCGAAGAGCGGAAGACAAGGGTGCTCAGACACACAAATGAGTCCCAATCTTTGAAAGAGGGTGAGGGTTTGGTGCAGATTTGTTGGATGGGTCAGTGGAGGTTTGTCTGTGACGATGGATGGGATATTAATGCTGCAAGAGTTTTCTGCAGGGAACATTACTTGCTTACTGAAGGTAAAGTAATGTGTTAAGTTGTTAGCTACTAATATTAACCATTGGTGCACATGTACAGTTTGTCTCCGAGTGTGTCATTCTGTATGTCGTCAAACACGATGTATCTAGGCTTAAAAAGTTTAAAAAACCATCCGTACACGATTGCCAGCAAGCTGAACATAACTGTGTGTACCGGAGTGAGTATACAGAACAATATGTTGGTGTCTATAAAAATCCCTGTTTCTGCGACTTCGTGTAGCTATACTTGAATGACCCGCATCAAAGTAGCTCTGGGCAGTTGACTCTACAAAGTTTCAAGAAAGGTCAATAGTTTTCACATACACATTGACAGTAGATACCTTTGATTTCTAGGGCTTCTGTGGTACAACTAGCCTTGTACCACAGAAGCCCTAGAAATCAAAGGCACCGCACACAGTGTATGCGCACTAAGACAACTAGTGACTGCATGCCTATGGTGTAGTGGTGTGCTGAACTCGGCCATACACACATGTGGTGTATGAGCTCTCAACACCATGGCATGCATACTAATAAGTTGTCTTAGTGCGCTTTCCTGTGGTACAAATTGGTTACACTACACCCATAGAGTAACCTATATTTAAAAGTCCTTACACTATTGTCAGCAAGCTGAACATAACTGCGTGTAGCTACGGAGTAAAGTATACAGAACATTATGTTTGTGCCTACAAAATCCCTGTTTATGCTACTTCGTGTACTTGAATGACACGCATTAAAAGTAGCTCTGAAATGGGCAATTGACTCTACAAAGTTTCAAGAAAGGTCAATATTACGCTGTAGAGTGCAATTATCCCGACCCTAATGGCGTACATACACATGGCACATTATAAGACGTGAAAGAAAAAGATGAGGTACTTACAGATTGCCATCTTACTTTTTGATTACCTGCCGGATCCTATTTCATCGAATATTGTTTCCGCTGAAGCCTAGTTAACAAAGCCTAGCTGCTGTTCAAGTTGCATCATGCTGCTGTAAACACGTGTGAGTGAAGGGTCTACTTCAACCCATAAGATGGTCAACGAGATTCAGGGAGATATCTGATTGCAGATGAACTAATGAGACACTTATGTATAATTATGAGAGAGATAGGCATGGCAGAATACCTGCCATGCTGTTTACAAACCTTACTCATATTTGCTTTTTCACAGACACAGCTATAACATCCTTTCATTATCATTTTGATAATGATATCATCAAGTACATTACTGGCTGAGATGATATTCAATGTGACTGGAGAAGAAAACGGCTTGATGGACTGTGAGCATGAACGTCTGGGTATTCACAACTGTGCACAGGATGAGATAGCGGCTGTCATATGTGAGTTTATCATAGTATCATGAGTGCTGACTCTGTGTGCATTCATCATATCCAGGCAGGCAGTGGCACGGAGCAAAATGTACACTTGAACCCTACCAGGCGGGACAGCATATGGTCCATCTCTAACAAAGGTCTCAAACAAATAGGTAAGTCTTTAGAGTACTGTCAAGGTGGTCCTTAGGGACTTATTCTCTATGCCAATTTTACTGAAAATACATACTACGCAGCACGGCATTTAGGGCTTGCTATGCTTGGAGTAAACACTGCATGAGTGGTTCGGCTGGGTTCCCTATGGCTCATGTTTTTAAAATGAAAAGCACTAAAATGCAAACCTCGGCGAACTGCGCATGCGCGATACTGCTAATTGATGGGCTGTCACGGCTATTTGTACTCGCGGCTCGCGGAGAGTCTGACACGGGCTAACTACAGTAGTAGATAGCACGCGGAAGTTTGATACATGCCATTCGTTGTGACTTCCTGAGCCCCCAAGGTACACAGAGCGAGCGGATCAGGTCGTGGTAAGCCCAGTGCGATTATGCATATTGGCTCTCGAATGCAGTCATTTCAGGAAAATCGCTCTTTTGATTTTCAGGCTCGCGTAGTTCTGAAGCCGCTGCTATCGCTTATAGGCCGCCTCGTAGCCTGTAGTGCCAGAATAAGCGTCGACACACACACACACACAGACAGACAGAACGACTACCGTAACCCTCGCTGCGCATGCGCGCCGAGGGTTAAAAACATGTGTCTGTGTCCACATCCAATCTGGGAATGTACAGTACATGTATGTGCTCTCTAGGCTCACATCGCTTCGCACCCACCATGCAGATTTTGTTTTCTGTCCCAGATTATGCTGTTGCTACAGTTGAAGTAGGAGATATCTGTGGCCTGATTGAATTTGATCTTGAAGGCAATGGAATGATCACTGTGGAGGTCGATATACTGGGGACTGAAAGGTTCTCTGAGTGTACATTGTTATACACTTCCAAATGTACAACCCGAGGTCACCACTCTAAAACAGCTATATATGACACGTCACTAATGACAGGTCCAGATTGGAAAATCCAAGAGGAAAATTGCATGAAATTAGGGAGACACAAATTCATTGAAACCCCACAAAGTTCATTGGTTGTTATAGAGTGCCGTTTATATAAGTGCAGCATTGCGCTGACAATATATGGTGTTCTTTTAGAAATTGTTGGAGTGAATTCGGGCATGGAGAAGTGAAAGTATAGTAATCCCTTTAGTATTGTTACTAGGTTCTCACCACCTTTGGAAACTTTACATTAAATTTGACCTTTACCTTTCCTATATGGAGTGTTCGAATAAGTATTTAGCGTGCTCTGTTTTGCCTGTTTTTCTTGCACTGTGGAAGACACATAAAAGATAAGTCAACAACTGCTTTTGTTTAGAGTGATACCTACTGATTCTTGTTTTTTCACATTAGAGTGAGAACGGTAATAACGAGTAGGACTGTGTTGCCAGTGTACTATGTACATGCGTGTATTGTGTATACTTCGTTACATTCACTTCGTAACTCTCTCTCAATTCGTTGTGATATTTTTAGCCACAGAAAGGTATGATTGGGGAATCAATGATGATGCAACAGGGAACTGCACAGAGATACCCTTTGATCCAGCTGGGTTTTTGGAAAACTGCAACTATGATAAGCACTGCAGACACTCATTTATAAAGTAAGTGTTCGTCTTTCCTTTAACCCTCGATGCGCATACACATTGGGGGTTATTGTAGTCAACATTTCAAAGGTCCAAAAGCCTTTGGTTCATACTCATGCATAACATGTCCAATCTGGTGACATCCCTAGCTAGCATATGTCATGTGACTCGACAGTTTTCTGTCAAACAGTATTTAACCCTTGGTACACATGCGCAGCAAAGGTTACGGTACTTGGTCTGTGTGTGTGTGTCTGTCTGCAGCTATTCTCGCACTAAAGGCTACGAGGCTGACTAACAGCAATACCAACGGCTTCAGAACTACGTGAACCTGAAATATATAATGGTGATTTTGGTGTACTCCAGAGATATACCGTAAAAACAAGTGAAGAGCCAATATGCATAATCGCGCTACGTAGCTTACCTCGTCCTGATCTGCTTGCTCTGTGTACCTTGGAGGCTCAAGAAGTCACAACTAATGATGTGTATCGACTCCTGCCCGCTATCTACTAGTGTAGCTAGCCTGTGTCAGACTCTCCGCGAGCTACTAGTGTGGAGACCACGGGTAAACACATACTCATAGCCCTGCCAATCAAATAGCGGTACCGCGCATGCGCCATGGGCTGAGGGTTTGCACTTCATTACTTTTCTATCTTGCCCCTTTGCTTTACTCTTTCAAGACTGTCAAGGGAAGCAACCCGTTAGTCGCACATACAGT